AAATTTCAATAACTTTTTAACGGTTTAGTGAATCGATTTCTGATTTTTACAAGAGTTTTAGAACTGAATGAGAAACGTTCCTCCAAATTTTTATTTGTTTCGTAGCATTTTGACATACCTCCCAAATATCCTTAACTACCTATAAAACAGGATCATATACCTAATGCTTCATGTAGGTGCCTTTGTGTAGTGTGTATGACAAAACAGCCACTGACGATCTGACCTAAAAAAATCTGACTTGCCCCCCCCCCTAGGGCATAAAATGGGTACGCCCATGGCTAGTAGATAATGCGTGCAAATAAGGTAAGAATGAATTTCCAGATAGAGGAAGCAATAGGCTTGGGCAAGATATAAGTTGAAATATTACAAAGGGAATACTAGAAACTAGAGAGGAGAAATGATACAGTGAAATATAGTGTAACAAGCACGAGCGTGTTTGTGTGCGAACGAGCACACGTGTGCGTGAACGGTTTATCGATTCGCCGACTAACCGCGGGCGCCTTTCTTCTTGTGCGCCGTATTTGTAAATGTGTGTGTCGTACCTCCGTTCTGGGAAAGCAGTTAAACAGTTCAAAGAAAAAATAAACGATCCGGATGTTTCTAGAGGGTTCCAGAAAGTAAACAAAAGAGTATTTAAAGGAAGAGACGATCGCCGAGAGAAATAGAAATAAATTGACTTGTCCGTGTTTCANAAAAATAAAAATATTTTCCCGACAGTTAACTAACAGTTAGTTATTAACAAAAAACATGGAAAAATCTTATGAAAAAAACTAAAATAAACTTCTTATAATTTAACAAAAATAATATTCTTTTCTTTTTGAAATTGATGTTAAATAAAACATAAAATAACAAAATATTGTTAAAATACTTAAAAAATAAATAATTATGGAATACTGTTGAGAAATAAAATTTGGTCAATCTTTTTTGGTGCTAGACGGTTTCTTCTATCATTGCACAAAATCCCAGCTTTTGAAAATAAGCGTTCTGAAGGGACTGACGATGCTGGTATACAAAGATACTTTTGGGCAATTTCGGACAACCGCGGAAATAAACATTTTTTGTCATTCCAAAACTGAAGTGGATCGCATTTTCTGTCAAGATATGGTAATTCAATATATTGTTTAACCATCATAGCTGCAGAAGTGTATGGAGTTTGGTGACCACTGCTCTCCATGAGTTTTTTATCTATAACCCCCCAAATGTCGTCTTTATCCAAAGCAGCAACAATTGAAGTACTTGGGCAGCTTGGGCTATTTGGGCTAGATGAAGGTTGGACTTTATCTGTGCTCATGTTTGATAACTCATTGATTACCCACATTTGCGCATTATTTGCATTACTTTCTGACCAAAAACCTTTTTTTTTAAAGCGAGGATCAAGGAAGGTGGCTTTTGATGCAGTTCGATTAGTCTCATATACTGCAAGCCTTTTTTCTATTACTGCAGTAAGACTTCGTTTTAAATTCTTGCCCAATTCCGTTACTGGCGTCTTGTTTTCTATAGCATTTTGTAATCCAAGCACAAGAGGAATAACAGAAGACAAACTTGGATATTTTTCTCCTGATAAAATCACAGTAACATTTTCGAAAGGGCGTAAAAGTGTCACCATGTCTTCTGTTATTATCCATTCATTGGAATCCAGATTTGGCGGAGATGTATCCAGCTGTGGCAAAGTAGCAGAAAGAGGTATTTTAACCTCTAATAGACGTTCGAGCATATAAAAAATACTATTCCATCGAGTCCGAACGTCTTGCTTGAGTTTCAATGTATTTACATTTAGTTGTTTTTGCATTTTGAGTAAGGCATAAGAAGCTTTTGCGCTATGTTTAAAATGCGAAACAATTGCTCGACATTTTGCCAAAAGTTGTTGTAGCTGACAGGTAGAAGCGTTTCCTGCTAAATCAAAAGTTTCTTTCTCTAAACAGTCTTTAACCGCGAGATTAAGTGTGTGAGCAACACAAAAATGATTTCGCTTGTTCAAACATTCACTTACAGCTTTTTTCATAGCTGCAGCATTATCTGTGACAATAGTTACTACTTTTGAGCTTATTTCCCACTGGTCCATTACCTCTTGTATAGCCAATGCAATATTCTCAGCCGTGTGATGTAGTTGTATTTCTGAAGTCGAAATAACTACAGATTTCAATTTATATTGATATATGTAATGTGCAGTCAGACTTATAAGGCTTTTATTACTGTCTGATGTCCAAATATCAGATGTTAACGCTAAATAAGATATATCATGTA